TGAGTAACAAAACATTATTTATGTACACTGTATAAAGAATCAAAGAATCATGTATTGATTCCACACTCTCTGTAGCTGTTCCTCATTATTTACTGTCTTTCCGTGGTAATGGCGGAGGAAGAGGAAAATTTTGTTCCATTTTAAAGCTGGATTTTGCGTATGACTTGCGAAGTTCATGCATCTGAATTATTCCTTGGTTGTCATAGAGATAGCTGATGCCATCATCCTTGATGTCGCCAAGAGATTGCACGCTTGCGTACTGAGAGGAATCACCATCAATGCTTTCAGAGGAAGGTAAACTGGGTGATGCACAACTTGAACAGGTACATGTGTCAGAAGGAGAGTCTGTTTTGAAGATATCACAGTCATAATGTGATACTTCATTCTTTGTTTCTTGTTGCTTATTACTAGGCAGAGAGAACAGAATGGGTGCTTCTTCATAGATAGGCTCTGTCATTTCTCTTTTATTGCATTCATCAATCTCTTCCGGATCTGCTAATTTAGAGACCTTGCCAGATTTAGTAATTACTGTATCTTTCTGACAATTTGCTTTGGAAATCAGTATTTTTGCAGCTGAAAAGCTTATTACAACTGCAATAAATCCTAGGATACATATAGCTGCAATATACATGTACGTCGTTTTATCCAAACCTCTTGCACGGGCATGGCTCTCCATGTATCTTGTGTTTTTGTTAGTAGTAGCGTCATTATATTCACCAAGTTCTGTCTGTGATGGTAAATCAGTATTTAGCTCTTGTATTCTTTCTCCAATATTAGTGGTGTTCTGGATGACTGCATCTAAAGTTTGAAGATTTCTTTCCCTGGTGTCGTCATAAAATCCTGCTTTATCCAACACCATTAAAGGACCTATGGTGCATTTGATCTGTTCACCGGGAAAGTGCCTCTCGCTAGTCACCAAACATGTTATAGTCTTATTGTGGAAAGACGGATCAACCTGGAGATTTTGTAACAAAACTTGTGTGTTGTTATCAAGAAAGTAAGTGCTTGATTGAAAGATACTTGTCCCATCAAGATACCAGCCCATGTTCACAGCAGGATTGCCTTGAGGAACTTCACATCTCATTAAGATGGTTTCTTGCAGGTCTGGTACAGTACTCAGACTACAGAATAGTTTCTCTTTTTTTGGAAAGTACATCACATTAAGTTTGGCTTCCTTTGAGATGCAAGTTGTATACTGGTTCTGTGATTTGACAATACTAGCAAAACAGGTATGGGTGCTATTGCTGTGTTTGTTCACATTTGCAAATCCAATTCTTGATGTTAAATGCTTTGTCCTACGATCAAAATTGATGGCCATGGCATTATATGGCTGTGGAGGACTGCTCAACCAGGTGATAGTATCTGTTTCAGGATTAGACTCTGACAATGTGCATGTGAACATGGCATTTTCTCCTTCCTTTACCGTTAGATCTGCTGGATGTGCCACAAAGACTGATTCAGAATCATTGCAAAATCCATTGATCTGAGCACATAAAACCAGTAATAACATCAGCCAGAGCATTTTGACATCCATCCTAATACATTTGATCTTTGACACTCCCAAAATTGACACCATGTAGCAAATGCAAGTATTCCAATTCGACTGGAAGCAGTTTGTGACTGTAAATCTTCTTTCTATATTTTTTTTTTGTGATAGCAGCCTCTCTTTCAGTCAGTCAAATTTAGCCTTATGGTAGTTTCGATTGCAGTTGGCAATTGTTTAATGGCACTTTAACCAAATTGTTGTTGTTATGCTCTTGTTTCTGTGTAGTTTTGACCACAAAAAGATACTCTATTGCTCAAGTGGGTAGGCTTTCATTTTTGTTGCAATTTGGGGATGTCATCCGAAACAATTTTTCAGTAGATGTTAAATTTTGCTTTACAGCTGTTTCGATTGCAATTGGCAGTTGTTTTAATGGCACTATAACCAAGTTTTGGTTGTTATTCTATACTCTTTTGCTCAAGTGGGTAGTCTTTATTGTATTTTGTTATTTGGGGATGTCATTGGAAATCATTTTAAATTGATTTATTAGTTTCGATTTCTATCAGGGATGAACTTTTACCTAATAACTTTAGGATATTAACCCATCAATGGCATAATTGGAAAACACAGTTATGAATATTTTCTATACTAAAAAATCCCACTACATATCCTCAAATGGTACCACAGTTCCCTTTAACACGATCCCAGCTGTTTAAACAAATAAACTTAATGGCAGTTTAAATACCATATTATATGTAGTATAGAAATCATGTTCAGATTATGTAATACCTATGTCATGTTGGCCCATTGGAATAGGTGACGCAAAAGGCTATTGAAATTGCTGTAGTTTACATTTTTTTTTTAGAGTAGTTGTCATGTGATCTTTGTACAAATTAAAGAAAACACATCAAACCAAAACAAAAATAAACTGAACTATAAACCGAACAACAATATATGAAATATTTTTCAAGAGTAAATGACTTTATTACTGAATGTTTATTTCTAACATGGAAAACATAATTGTACCTCATGGTTAAGATAGATAATACATTGAACATATATGTACTCTTTCTCATAAAGCTTTCATTGAAGGAAAATGAAAGGATTACTGTTTGAGAAAGAATATAATAACATGAAATATAAGAAATATAAAAGCTGAATATAATATCACAAAAAGTTTTATACCCGCTAAAGATGAACATTTTCCATTTGAATACAATTTAGTTTAAAATCACACAAGTTCAAGAGAAATATGAGACTTATCATGATAGTATGTAGAAACAATAGAATACAAGTTACACTGGCAAGTTATAAATGACCCAAACCTACACAACAGTGTGTGTTATAGTTATGAACCCTTTGTATTAAATTTTGTATCTGATAGAGCGACTTTGCCTTGTTTGCAAATAGATAATTATAAAGTATATAAGCACCTATCTTCATACTTTATAAGTTTTTTTCAGTATTTCATCAGCCTTTAGATGAAACAGATTGAACAATTAAGTACATGGTAGGATAAACTACTCCAGCCTACAAATATATACAGTAGCTCATACAGTTAAGCACTGTCAGTACGAGCAGCTTCATGTGCATACCTACTATCATATACAGGTTCTGTACAAAATATATATACATGCATGTTGTTAGAAGTACAGTAATAATATATGAAGAAAATTAAAACCACAATGTATGTTTTTATGATGCATTCTTTCTATGTTTGAACAAAACATAAACTCGGAATAATCTAATGAGTTAAATTGAAACTGCTCAATGAAGACTTCACATAGCGAGCATGTACTCAGACCCTCCAAAGAGAAAGGTTCTATATTAGCATGTCAATATATACATTTTACTCAGGCATGCAGTTTTCAGAAGAGGTTTGCCCCATTATTGGCAAACAAGGAATTGTTGATTCCTTTTCTAATCTTTGGATCCATTAATTTTACAACATTATAACTTGGGAGAAGAACTATTTCTGAAGAGAACTCAACAATAACATATGAATGAATGGTGTAAGGTTCATTATCTATTATTCATATCACTTATCTAATTTTATATCTGGCAGTAAAAAGAAAACACATGCAAAATACAAGTGATCAATTTATACAGAAGGTATATACAGAAAAACTCACATACAAATAAACAATGTAATTGACAAATGGGAGAATAATGAGTATTCTTGTATGTGGATAGGGGTAACAAAAGCAAAAGTGTTGTTTAAGTCAGGTTAATTCCCAGTACCTCACACATGTATATTCTTAATTAATGCTGATACATATACAACATTACGATACCAAATGTAACTCTTTTTTTCCCCTTTAATTCCCTTTTCTCTTCAATGAATGAATATTCTTTTGTCCAATCACAAACATTAACTACCGGTATGTATCTGAACAGGCTTTACTGTGTCTTGTGTACACTCTATTCAACTTTTGAGCACTTCTTCATTTCCTCCACTGATTTCTTGATGTCTTTCAAATCACTTGCCAAACGACTTTCTACTCTCTGGAAGCAGTACAACATGAAAATAGTATTTGCAAGTAAGAATACACTTGCAATGATAATCAAACTAATAGACAACATCATGCTTTTGCTTTCACCTTCAAGTTTTACAACTAAAGTCTGCTTGTCATTTCCAGTGTCAGTACTTTTGTACATGTATGTGCCAGTATTGGCTTCTCGTGTGACTCTATTGTCCCCTTTTATGTAAGGCTCATGTGTGGATAATTTCTTATAGAAAGATGAAGTTGAGCTATGAGAGCATGAATTTGCTGTTGTCGTATTGTCAGGGCTCCATGCATAATCATTACACTCACACTGTATTTTTGGTAATCTGTAAGTTGAGGAACAACATACCAATGGTAGAGTTCTCCTGACCCAAATTTTCTGCAGAGTGTGAGTTTGGTTTGAAATGGGGATCGTCCATGGTGGCAATTGCTCGTCGTTTTGAAAACATTTAATGTATCCAGGTTCTGTACCTGTAATTGCTGTGCAATTCATCATTTCCCAAATTTCATTTATGCCAAAGTGCACCTTTTTGACAGTACTCATGGTACAAGATGCTCTGCCAGGCGGGTACTCGATATATACTGAAAACTTTTGAGTTATATGCTCGACAATGCTTCCATCCCTTACAACTTCACAAATGTATTCACCAGCATCTGCACGAGAAATGTTTTGAATTTGTAAATGAACGATTCGACTGTTGGATTGTACTGCAGATATTTTTATTTTGAACCGCTTGTATTGGCTTGCTGTGAGCATATCAACCACTTTTCTTCCATTTTGAAAGAATGGTGCATTTCCCCCTATTCTCAGTTGGATGTTAAGAGGTTCCTCAAGACTATATGGATATCTTAATTCTGCTAGTTCTCCCTCTGTAAAAGTAAACTGGAAAGACATACATACAGGGCAGAATGTTGAAAGTGCAATAAGGATGAAGTGAAGAATATGCATATTGATATGCATATAAAAAACTCACTAAACTTACAATGATTTATTCTTCTTCCAATACTTCTTTCATTAACTAGGCCGTTACGAATATTCCCCTCTTTATCATCAGTAATATAATGCAAACCTTTAGCTAAAGTCTTCACATCTAACCATCAACATGCAAAAAACCAACATGGCAAATATGATTTCAATCGAGAGGAAAATTCTGGTAGCAACATAGATCTGTTGCACTGCTGATGTAATATGTAACTTTGGTAGTACTTCTGTGATCCTTTCCGGCTTCTCTGTAGAAACTGTTGCTTCTCTCTCTGACAGGGTATGAGTTAAAAGCACAGTTTGTGATGTTGAATGCTGACGATCAGGATCAGGTGAAACAAAGTCTTTGCACCAGTGATAGCTTTTGCGGTACAGCTCGCTAACAGAACAGCATCGGAGTGATCTTCTTGATAGCCAGAATATGAATGTTTTTACATCATCTCCAGTAATGAATCGGGGATTGTGTGCAATAGTTGCGCCTTGATGCCTTGAGTAGCATATAATGTTACTTTCGGGATAACCGTTTGTTGCTGAGCACTTCAATGCTGGTAAATGTCCATAGTTTGCATGCGCTGTTAAATTCAGTTCTCCAGGATTGTACCATCGGCAGGAAGCTGCTTCGGGAGGATAGTATACTCGTAGAATGTAAGATTGTGAAGTAGTTGAAGTAGAGTTGCTACATTGGAATTCAGCCTTGTATCTTCCAGCATCATCAACATGTACTGATCTGATTTCCAGGTTCACAATCAAATGGTCAAAAATAGTTTTTGTTGTGATATCAGTTCTAGAGACCTTGACTTCTGAGAATTGTTCTGTATAACGGTACGTGCCATTGAAATTGAAGATCTGGCCGTTAAATTTTAGGGCGAATGTGCAGTTTTGTGAGTTTTGATCCACCAAGAAATCAAAGATATACTCAACGTTTTTGTCAACATGAACAATTTTGCAGTGCTTCACCTGTTGGCATGTGTCGCTTCCTAATGTTAGATTTAGGACGGCAATCAAGTTGAGTAGTATGCCTATAAAATACAGCATTTTGGATTTTTCTGAAAATATAAGGAAAAGAAATATAGATATTATGCTGAAAGTATATACAATTTTACAAAATATGAATGATGGTTCTCCACAAACTATACTGCATTTTGAAGAAAGATGTCACTTTATAACCATACACCTGAAGTCAGCCCTGCTTTGAATATTGGGCAAACTGTTTCTACAATATGTAACTGACTTCTTCTAAGAGTTTATGATATCTGACAATTGCCTTGATTTTCAATCCAGGCCAGGTCTGAAATATCAAGTGAAATGATTGTCAATTTGTATCAATAATACCATAAAAAAATACTTGATAATATATGGGACATGATCAAATGGCCTCATGCTTTCAGTCTAAAGAAAAATATATTTGTATGTAACTGCTTAAAGATAATGAAATTTCATCTTTTTCAAGTATTTGAGTGTCACACTTTTAAAGTTAGAATACATCGTAGAGTGATGCAAAAGTGAGAGGGGTAACAAATTTAATTGACTTCTAAGTAATTAATATGAGCTAAAGCAGAGAAGTTAGAAGTAAATCCTCATTATTGATCTGTTTAATTTTTGGCTTGGATAACATTAGGATGACATAAAAGTTGAACTTTTCTGAAAATCTTGAAAGTTCTTTAAATATTAAAAGTTTGTTGAATGAAATCTTCACATCATGTAGAAATGTTTTGCTTTTAATGCAAGTTGTAAGTATTTCAATATACTAACCAGTTGCCACTCTGCAAGAAGTTCAAGTCGCTCATGAGATTTCATTTTCCACAAATAAAATGACATGTTGCCTGGAGTACAGAATGGTGGTACTAGTAGATTGGCGCAGAAAGCCAGAAACTATCTTTTTCTTGCCCGCTTCTGTATCTGCCTCTGCCTTTAGTCTTCAAGTCTCTCAGCTCTTCCTGAAGATTTCAAAAGAATTCAAAATAAATATTCAATTGAACTTCCATAATTCCATGTGATTGAAAGACAGATTTGTGTTAAAAATCATGTCAAAAAAACAATGTCAACTCTTACAGCAGTAGCCAGTTTGGTAACATTAATTTGTCCTTGGCTATAATTTTGCTCTAGTTCTTCCAATGTATACAACAAACGATACGTGCATATTGTACCACAGCATTAGTATGTACCTCTCACATTGGGGTAGAAATTTGCATTTGTTAGCTCTAACATGGTCCTGCATGTAAATGTTCAATTATCTATTCATTTTGTTAAATAACACATTTGTACTCACCTAAGCAGATTAATCAGAGTATAATTATGCCAGTAATCAAGTTCCGACTACAAAATGGCTTCCTGAACAGTGGATTGTTGTTACAAAACATTCTCCAACAAACATTCAAATGATGTTGGGGGTGTAGCCTCTTTTATTTGCTTTGGAAAATCTCCAAACATATTTTCCCAGGGGTGCGACCCAGATTTGTGTGGGGTTGAAACATGAGAGTTGACAAGTTTTGATCAAAGTTCACTGAAGAGCCATAAATAATTCGAACATGCATTGAAAATGAGATGATCCAAGTAGAAAATTGTTAGTCTTATCCACTGCAACTGTGAAAATAACAATTTTCAGTGTTTCATACAAACTTCAGTTGTGACAGTCCCTCTCCTTTGCAAGCTTTTTGACAGGCACAGGTAGTTGTTCTATTCATGTGTATACTTTATGGGGTTTGAGATATATATTATGTGCTTGACTCTCCATATATTTGTTTACACCAATGTTCACTGAACATTGGATCCTGGTGCCTGTTAACTATTTATAAATAATGGTCTTGAAATCATTACAAACAAATACCTTGGAATTCCCCAGTTTGGACTCATCTTATCAATTATTACTTTAATGACCTAGCTTTGTACCTGACTGTTCTTATTGTCACTTTGGGCATGCATTTAGCCTGAATGTTCCAACAATTTGTTGAGGTTCTTTGTAGTTTGGTCAAAACGTATTTTTCCCATACATTTAAATACTGAATATGTTTTCACAGGAATCAAAGAAAATTATAAATTTATAAATTCTCAAACAATCATAAAAGAATGTTGCAGTTTAGGATGCACATTTCATTTTACATTGGTGTGTTTATTCATATTGAATTTTCTCTTCTGAGTCTCTTTCTCGCCCTCCCTCTTTTCTCTCTCTTCTCTCCCCTCTCTCTCCCTCAATTTCCCTCTCTCTTCCCCCTCTTTTTCTCTTATTCTCTTTTTTTCTCTCTCTCTCTCTCTCTCTTTCTCTCTCTCTCTCTCTCTCTCTCACTCTTTCTCTCTTATTCTCTTTTTCTCTCTCTCTTTCTCTCCCTCTTTCTCTATCTCTACCCCCCCCTCTCGCTCTCTCACATTCCCCCTCCCCCTCACTCTTACTTTCTCTCCCCCCCCCCTCTTTCGCTACCCTCTCTCTATCATTCTCTCTTTCTCTCCTCTGACTCTCGGGATATAGAGTAAGATAGTCAAAAGTCTTTTTTTTTTACCACTGCTGAGTCTGGAAAATGCCTTCTGTCTGTAATGTTTTATTGATCTTTTGAACATATAAAATGAGTCAAAATTTGTACAACTTCAGTTCTAACATTTATTTCTCAGATCGCATATAGACAGCTAGTGCATGCAAGTACAACATACCAATGTTTCAGTTGTGTAAGTCACATAATGATAATAATACATATCATTTATAAAGTGCCTTTACAAGATATACAGAGTGCATTAACCTAAAAAAACAGGACGTACACAAAAATGATGTTTCTTTTTATTTTACTTACAGATCACTGACTTACGTTTACTGCATAGCGTACATGTATCTGTCGCATACATAACATACATTGGAGAGTGCAATTGCTTTTGCATTGAAATCATACAGAAAGTGAATAGATACCGGCCTAACAGGTAGCATAGAACTTTGAGCGACATATACCCCTTCCCCCTTTCCTTGTAAACTCTTAAGTGTTTATTGCATTTTTAATCAATTCAGAAGAGATCTTCTTTTGAAAAATACATGAATGATTATGATGTAGTGGTGATTCATTATCATTTATGTATTATTTCAAATGATTTTAATAATTCAATGAATTATGATACACAGTCATGGATAAACAAATTGTTGTAACTTTTCCCTGTTTTTCAGGCATGTATGAATACTTTGTGGGTAGTTAGTTCAATCTTCAAATTTTGTCTACAAGTATATGTACCATTCACTGTTATTAGGAACTGAGTATGAAATCGGATCAGTCTACAAAAGTGAATATATACATTGTTGTATATTGTTAGAAGTTATAGAATCATCCGACCAATAATATCTTGAGACATTCTCATCGTCTACAATTAAGAGCATAAAATGGAAATGATTTTGTATTGAACTATTTTGGTGTTGAAATATGCATGATGTATACCTCCATAACAGTTTCAAAGAGAAATGTTTAAAACTTCAATTAATTATATAAGCATGAAACCCCAGACATACAAAATATTTAAAGATTGTTCACCAAAATACCTGTTTCCTCAGAGGACCTAATTATCAGGGGTTTTCTTTAGAGGGAGAGGTGGTGCTTCATTAAAAGTGACATTTCCCCATTTTGATCTGTTAATTCGAGATGAAGTTGGCTTTCTTATTTGTTTCTCAATTATACTCTGATTTCCATAATTATCATCAGCCATTGATTCTGTGACAATTTCTTGATTTGTGACTGATATATCAGATTTATCAGACTTATATGATCCATAAGAATAATCATTTGAACTTGCAGTCGAATTATGAGAATTCCCAGACAAGCTACAATAATAAATATTGTTTGATTCATAGGATGCGCATGAATATGAGCTTACTGAGTCTCGGTACGTCATTGTTTGTTTTGCCTTAGGCTCATGACTTATTTCAGTTAGATCTTGGTAAACATGTTCCTCTTCCCTAGCTGACAATGCCTTGCTCTTTGTTTGATGTTTTTCCTCCAATTGAATAGTTTCTTTTTTAATTTTCTGGTCCTGTGAGCACATTGCGGAACTCACATGACGAAAATGTCTGTACAGGACCATTGTTATTACAGCAAAAATGCACCCAGCCAGTAATAAGCCTCCTACTGCCGCTGCTGTGGCTATCACAATAACATGTTTGTTTCCTGAACCTTCTTCCAAAACCTTTGAATCAGATCCTTCTTTGTTGCTTGAAATATGATTTTGATTATTAATACTCTTGGTCACTTCAATCATACGAGTAAAGAGTGTATGAGACTCTGTAGTGCTTCTTCTGTTTATCAATATGTCTTCAGCTAGTATATCATGAGCATTTATAATAAGATCAGATATGCTCTGGTTCACTTCCATAAGCACTTGGCCTTCTCTTGATATCAAAATGCAAGCAATCCTCTTCCCAATGTTGCTTACTTTGAGGCTTTTAATGTTCACAGTATATTTCCTCTCGTAGCTTGTTTTTGCAACAATATCCTCATGTGCAGGGATACTTATGTTGTTGAACAGCCATTTGACTGTTGATCCTTCTGCAAGGCTCAAGGTACTGTTGATGGTGCACATAAAATCAGCATCCCATTCACCCGATCCCACTAAACTAGCATTAACTAGTGTTAACCCCATTTGTAGATTTGATTCTACGTCTCCTTCTTCAGGAATGAAGTATGGAAGAATCTGCACCTTTGTTTCCACCCTGGACGTTCCAAGAGGGTTTGTGGCAAAACATGCAACGGTAACAGAACAGTCTTCGTCATGTAAGAAACAAGTGTTATTACGAGACACAGTAACGTTCAGGATACGGTTTTGATTTTGTACCAAGTCACATCCTTGTATTATGTTTGACGGTAGACATGTCCATGTGATGTTGGTGATTGCAGGAAATGCTTTACCGTTGCAAGTCAGCTGTTGGTTAGGTTCACCAGGTCGAATTGTTAAACCTGGCGGACTTAGAGTGAGATGAGGTTTGTGATATATGATAAAAGGGTCAATGTGAACCGACAGCTTACGGTCAGGAAACGCTTCAAGACTTGTGACTTCACAAACTATTGACTGGTTATGTAGGGTGTGCACCATCTCCAGATTTTGCGTTAGCACCTTGGCAGTACCATTGACATGACTAGCCACCAGTGTTGCATTGCTATCACCCTCCAATTTCAAAGTGAGATGAACTTCAGGGTTTCCATTTAGAACCTGGCATCGAATCATCAAGATCTGCCCCTCTTCCGCTATCCCTGGATGTTGTGGTTCACAGAGTAGCTCGTCCTCATGCGGAAAGTAATATGCATTGAGATTAGCAACCTCAGAGTAACATGTTTTTGTCATGTAGTTGGAGCCTAGAATGAAAGCAACACATTGCTGAACCTGACTGTTTCTCTGAACTCTGAAGACAGTCAAGTTTGAAGTCATCCTGCGGGTCCATGGATCATAAAACTCTGATATGACGCTGTAATACTGGGAAGGGTTCACTTTCCAGATCAACGTGTCTGTAGCATTGTTGAAGTTCAAAGCAGTGCAGGTGAAGAAAGCATTTTGCCCTTCATAGACTACAACGCTTTCCGGGTTGGTGTCAAATACTGAATTGCATTTTGAAGGTATCCCATAATGGAAAATGCATGCAAGAAAGCAAAACACCAGAAAATAATTTGCAAGAAAGTTAAATCTCATAAGCACGAGGGCCATGATTTTTAAGAATATTCACAACCCAAGGTGTCAGAGCTAGAATGATTCACAATTGATAAGATGTCTCTCTGGCTCTCTGCAGTTGTGAAACATTATGAAACCACTTTCTGATTTACTTGGTTTCAGGTAGCTGTCACTTACTTTGTTTTCTACATGTGTTCAAGCGCTTGGGAGTTAAGGAGAGTTTTCATTGCTATCAATCATCTATACAATTTGTGATGTGGTTGCAAACAGAAGTGAGGTTTTTATGCCAAACCATTTCCTGTGCATTCACATGCTTGTTTGTTTCTGTTTCTGTTTTTTTTTTGTTTAATGTGTGTGTTCTGTTTAATAGCTGCCATTTCTAAAAGGTAGATACTGTATGAGTACTGTACGAACATTCAGGCATTTAAATGCCTAATGAAGTAATTTCAACAATAGTTGTTATAATCAGCAGGCATGTGGGATGTTTAAACATATAGATCCTCTGAGTGTTACCTGTTGCTCGTCAAGGGGTGGAAGAACATTTCTTTTCTTCTAGAAAATGGGTATATCCACCTGCATTCCCCTCTCCCATTTTTTAATGGGGTAGCATAGAAGTTTAACTTTGATTTTTCTTAATTAAAAGCCTCCATATGTCTATTGAATAGTAATTTTCAATCATTTTGGATGTACATTTTCTGAAGAAAATCTTATATTTCATTATTTAAAAATAATTGCCTTCTTAGTTTCCATTACCGGTATGTATCTTTGTTCATTTTATATATAGGATATTTGATTAATGCTGGTGATTTTTTAATGCAAACTACATGTATAAGAAAACGTTAAAGTATACATTGCAGTAATCAAAATAGTGATAAAAATGGGAATTCTACATAAGATATACTAATCTCTACCATTTTTAAACATGTCTGGTTAAATGCACCAATTATAATTTTCAATTTTCCTTGTTATCCCATTAACTTTGTCAAAATGTGATTTCTAATTTCTGTTGTATCTTAACACTGTACTGAAACAAAAAGTATTTACTCCCTTGCTTACAAGCTGTCACGCCATATTCCTATTAAGAATTTGGCTTGAAGCCATGGAAATTTTATTTTTTGAGGCCTGGGCATTTTCATGGTATTATGCCTTTGATTGTGAGAGCGCTGCCAGAGGCTGGTGTTTGGGTGTTGTCTATCCTTTGTAGTAAAACTTGCCAGAAATATATTTATAAATGTGCCACCAAATTTATGAGTCATTCATTACTACTTTGAACAAAAATTGTGGTTCTTCATTTTGTGATATACTGAGCCCTTATCCCCCCCCCCCAGTCGATAGTTGTTTTGTTGTTTCACTTAAAATACCAAGTGCAGTCAACATAAACACATTTTAATGAAGTAGGAGAAATTGTAATAAATAGTTTAAAAGGGAGCTTGACAAGGTCCCCCTCAGTATTTTAGTTACTTTCAACGTGAATGCAATTTTACAAAACAAACAGTATGAAAGTGATAAGGCCTGGGCATTTTCATTATGCCTTTGATTTTGAGAGCGCTGCCAGAGAGGCTGGTGTTTTGGAGTTTTCTACTCTTTGTAGTAAAATTTGGCAGAAATAAGATATATATGTGACACCAAATTTATGAGTCATTCATTATAACTGAAAAAATTGTGGTTCTTCATTTCGTGATTTACTGAGCCCTTTCCCCCCTCAGTAGATAATTGTTTTGTTGTTTCACTTACAATGCTTAATTAGTGCATTCAACATGGGTTTTTTTTTTATGAACTAGGAAAAATTATAATACAAATAGTTTAAAGGGATCGTTTAACAATGTTAAATCTGAGATACACGGTCCTACATGTTATCAGTGTCTGTGATATGGTGTAACATTGAAGCCCTGAAAAAAATCGCGCTTCAAAATGATCAAGAAGTGCCTCAAAAAAGTAAAAATCTTTGAGTGGCCGGTTATACCATACTCGTTTTCCCCAATAGACTGCAGTGTTATGAAAACCGTCAGGCGAACGATTTTCAAAATTTGTAATTCCAATCATAAATATCTTGATAATCAGACAGGCGATCGGCTTGTAAAAGTCATGGGGTTCCTGACTGACCTAAAGGTTTATAATTATCATTGCATCATGAGCTAAATCCAGAATTTTATTTCAGAATCTGAGACAAAGTTACCGGATCCCTTTAAAAAGGGGCTTGTCAAGGCCCACATCAGTATTTTAGTAACTTTCATTTAGAATGCAATTTACAAAACAAACGGTATGAAATAATAATAATAGTACATATGATTTATAATGCGCCAAATCCACTTGACAGTCAAATGCTCAAGGCGCAGAAAGTGATAAAGCTAGTTCTTATATTTTGTATAGTTAATTTTTTAACAAAAAGGTGATCCCCTGAATATTTAGCATGATGGGATTTATCGAATTGGCAAACACATTGAAAATCATTTCAATTTTGTTCAGTTTGTATTTATATAATGTAAAATATGTTTGTATTTTAACACTATTCTTTTCATTTGTATCTTCCATTTGTTTTTCTTGTGCAGGAAGCTTTCGTTATTTCGAGAACTACTTTGATATGCCAGGATGTGTGGTGTGTGCCAGATTAGTGGATATCATTGACAGACAGGTACATGTTCCAAATAAACAGTTACCATAGAATATACTTTTGTGTAAATATTAGGGGTTCAAAAGATATTAGCAGATGTTAATGAATGGCAGTACTGACCCTAACAATATGATCTACATCAAAATTGATTAAAGATAACTGCAATATAGGTAAACGACCCCCTTTTTCCTACTTTTATGTTTAAAGATGTGTATAATCATTTTCAGTCCCTTAAAAAATAGATTTAAATATATTTTAGCAGACAAAACAACCATCGTCATGTAAGTTGTAGGCTTTGGAAATGGAATTTACTGTACTAGTCAAGAATAAGTAAAGGCAGCTATTTTAATTTGCAATCTACATGAAACATATCATCATATAATACCTGAAAGTTTTCAACAGTAGAAGTATTTTCCACCTTCATCTAATACTCTTTTCCCTTATTTTCCATTCTTCCCTCACATTTTGTCACTACCCTGAATTATTGGTCTTCCACCAGGCAGGGAAAAGACAAGACGAATACACATTCTGGCCAGATGTCCTAGAATGCTTTGGTCTTGTGTATAAAAGAGAAAACTTTGCAGGTGAGTTATGAAAATAAAAACATTGCTTCTTGCCCATTTTATTTCCTTTCTGTTTCTTTTAGATATGATTTGATATTTGACTAAAGGCAGAATTTTGTTCTGGTGGGATTATCATCCATTCAAATATATGTTATTACTAAATGTACTTTGATATTTGAAATGGAGTGTAGCTTGCAAGAGCTTTTCTCATCTATGAATGCAGTATTAGTGTAAGATTCCCATCAAAACAAAATTCAAACCTTTGTTAATTACTTTTGGTAAGTTCTTTTTTATTGTTAGTTGTATTAGTAATTGTTATTGTTTTTCATTGCATCTCATAGATAATATAGGAGGGTATTTCCCAGCCTACAAAAGTGATCCATTGAAGTACGTTGAACCCTGCAGTGATGCTGTAAAAGGCTGGTTTAAGAAGCTGAAGGATGCTGGGAAGGTCACTTTCCTTCTTACAAGTTCTCATGTGGATTATGCAGAGTCTCTGCTGGAAAATATACTGGGGTAAGACCGTAAGATACATCTATGTAAAAAAAAAAGAAGGAAACAGTCATGGAAGTGAGTTGGCTCGGTTGGTAAAGCGTCAGCCTGTAGAACCAAATATCATGGGTTCGAAGCCAACTCAAGCAGATGACCAAAGCCTCCATTGTGTGTTAAAGTGCCTCTTTTCTATTTTGTAGACGTCAGCAAAGTTACAGTGGAAAACACTCTGTCCCTCAGATAGGACGTTTAATTGAGGCCCTGTGTACTGGATGGTAAAGACCTTTATCTGTTAACCCTAATAAGGCCGGGGGGGGGGCCATTATGGCCCCCCCCCTCCATAATTTTTCTGATTGCTCGAGAACGCATATGGATGGCGCCCCGCCGCTCGCTGACTTTTTTCTTTCAAGCCTTGCGCAACTTTTAAAATAATTTTTTTGAAAATCGGACCTACGGTTACAAGGTCACGTGACCTTTTGTCCTTGCATGTCAGCCTCAAAATCGCTCATTTTCGTGATTTGTGTACAAAACGTATGGCAAAGTCATTTTTCCTAAAAACAGATCAAACATGAGTTATTGGGTCTTGATTAAAGTTTAGGTGATTGTTTTGGGAGTCAAAATAGTTGAATTGTAGTAAAAGATGAAATAAAACAACAAAAACAATGAAATACATAAGTTAAAAAAACAATGAAATACATAAGAAATTATCAAAACAAGGGATAACATAAGAAATAAGCTGGCTCTTCCAAATTTTTTGTCGTATTATTATTCAGAATGGTCTAATGAACATATCTAGTGAAAAAGAATGCTTAAATATGAATAATATATGATTTATGGGTAAAAATGTGATTTTTATGACTTTATTTGCATAAATTACCATAAATATGCAAATAAGTGAATTTTTCAAAAAATTGAAATTATCATATTATTCTTTACACTTCACTTGACATGCGTGCAAATTTTCGCGGCGATCGGCCGCTTCGCGGCCGAGATCTTAAGGGGGGGCCATAATGGCCCCCCCCCCCGGCCCTACTAAGACTTCAAATAGCCCGGCCCTATTAGGGTTAAGCGTTGGTCACATCCCACCGTGCGTGTTTTTAGTCCGTACGGTTTTTGGGGAGGCCACGGCCGCCACGTTTTATGAAAACGTAGGGAGGGAGTGGCAAAGGCAGGGAGGGAGTACCGGCAAAGCACGTCACACGCACGGTGTAAGTACGTGGCCCGCACGCCACGCCTGGCCTAGAGCGGTTGCGTGCATCGTACGTTGCGCACATGGTAAGTGCGTTGTACATGCTTACAACGTGCTTACTACATGCTTACAACGTACGGTCTCCGTGCGGTTGCCACGTTATCTTACGGAAGCCGTACTTACACGTGCTGCTCACGTACGGTGTCCTTACTCACTCGCACGTTGTAAGTGCGTGCACGTACGAAGAACTTGGTGAGTCGGGGTATGTCGAAGTGTATAGGACGACATTCCCATTTTCTCTAGAAGTCCCAGCTGCTGCTGCCTCCTCATGATGCCGTCCATTCCACCGCAGAGACTCCGGGTTCTGATGCTGCAAGAACACCTTCAAGTGGCAACGCATGAGCACGACGTGGTATTACTTGCCTTGATACGGGAGAGAGAGAGGCAACAGAGATGCCGACGCAGGAGATGGTGGGTTCGCCCATGGATCGAGAGGAGGAGGCTTTCGGGCAGTACGAAACGTTGTTCCAAGAGCTAGAGCATGAATCGCGGGGGGACTATGTCGGATACATCTGAATGGACCCAATCTCTTCGCCGAGCTCCTGCTCCGAGTGACCCCTCGAATCACCAAGTGCCCAAGGTGTGTGTCTTCATTTCTGCCATAACAAATTCTTGGTTTTGCTTTAAAATTTACGACTTCCGGGTGGCACACAACAGCATATCCACGTTCGTGCCGGAGGTCTGCACCGCCATCTACAAGGAACATAAGGAGGAGATGTTCAACATGCCCTCCACACAGGACGAGTGGAAAGCCGTCGCCAGCCAGTTTGCAACGCGATGGAACTTTCACCACTGTTATGGGGCGATCGATGGGAAACATATCGCCATCAAGAAGCCCAATAAAAGTGGATCGCTCTATTACAATTATAAGCGCTTCTGTTCTGTGGTGCTCCTGGCCATCGTGGATGCTAACTATTCCTTCTTGTGGTGCAAGGTGGGGGCAAACGGCTCTTCCTCAGATGCAAGCGTGTTCAACGAGTCCACCCTCCGGGGGGCACTGGAGGACAACACCATTGGATTCCCAGCACCAGATCCACTTCCAGGCGACGACCGGAACTTTCCCTACTTCATCGTAGACGATGATGCTATTCCCCTGCGAAAGTGGCTCTTGAAGCCATACAGTCGCCGTGCCATGACCCACAAAGAGAGCGTGATGAACTATCGGACCTCTCGGGCCCGTCGGGTTGTGGAGAACGGCTTCGGGATATTGGCTCACCGGTGGCGGTGCCTACTCACCACCCTGCTGTTGGAGCCTGACAGGGTGATTCGCGTTGTGTTGGGCTGCCTCACCCTTCACAATTGGCTGCGAAAGCACCGGCCCGGACTACAGGACCTTAATTTGGACCACGAGGATGAGGATGGCAACGTGGTCCCCGGGGCCTGGAGGGAGGATGTGCAGATGACCGAACCCAACCAGATGGTCGGCCAACGGGCCTCAAGGGAAGGGAAAACCCTGGGAAACTTATCGAAGAAGACCGGATTGACCGAGAAGAACTCAACCAGGCGCTCCTCCTGTTTCGCCGAGAACGAGCAGTTGGCCTTTTCCTTTGTCACACCCTTTTCATGTGACCCCTTCTCCGATCCACCAGCAGCACCCTCCTCATGATCAGACGCTTTGGCGTCACCATCTGACTCTTTTTCGTTCCTCCTCTCCTCTTCCTCTCTGGCCCTCTCATCTTCCGCGGCCCGTTTCTGTTGGGCCTCTCTGGCCTTCTTATCCGCTGCCTTTTGAGCTGCAGATGCAGCTGACCCCTTATTCTGTGTCTTCTTCGGCACCATCTTGGAGACGAAATGTTGGCACTCTTCCGTTGGCTCGGCTTTTGTATACTGCATAAATCAGTGCGCACAACGTGCGTTGTAAGTGCGGAGCACGTGCTTACTCGGTACGGTCCACGTGAGTTCTGCGTGCTCATTAGAAAGTTGAACTGGGGAAGTGGCGAGTAAGCACGGACCACGCGCTTATCACGTGCGCAGCACGCACGTGCTAAGTGCGCCTTCCGTAGAGCAAGTGATCGTGGGAAACAAATTTAAAAACGCACGGAGTCAGTGCATTGTGCGCTCGTTGGCAGTACCGGGCATGCACGTCACGCGCACTGGGGGTGAATCGGTAGCCCGAACGCAGCGAAAGTTCCTCGTGCACTAAAAGTGCTACGGTGTGTCTGCGTGCTCCCAAATCCGTACGGAGGCGGTACTCACCACGTACCAATACCCAAATTTTGCCCACGTCTTTGCACGTCTTTGCACGCACTTGCAAGTACGGCGGGATGTGACCACCGCATAAAGAACCCTGACGTACTGATCCACCTGCACATCCCAATCGGGTATTTCAGGTGGAGAGACTCAAGGGTCATAGTAATTGAGTTCTCTTTCCCTCTCTCAGGCACAGGCAACACCTAATACTCAATGATAACAATGTGATTTTTTTTCACAGAATTTTACTTGCAAGATGTACATCAATAAATGAATCGCTTTTGATATCAGTAACAAAACTTAGCAATGATAGATGTACCCTGCAAATTGAATAATACAGAAGTGATTTATTTGAAAATACTGCATTTCGGTGCAAACTTTTTTGGTTCCCATTTTACAGTAAAAAACTGGCAACATTAATTTTACATTTGCTTAAAGGTAGGCTTTACTACTTCAGCAAGAAGGGATTAGACCGCCCAGCAAGCCAGCGAGGTCACTGTGACAGGTGGCTATCTCATTAACTCAGCTCTCATTTGACATAAGAAAAAGAGGATCATGGGGGACCAACAGGCACCGATTGGGGAAGTTTTCTATATAGAGGGAGCAAGTAGCTACAAGTAGGACAGTGTGCCTTTAATGTATGCATTTTTTTTAAATAATCATTTTGCAGTAAAGACTGGCAAGATTACTTCCATATTTCCATGATGTATGCGAGGAAACCTGGATACTTCACAAAAGAGCAGACAGAGAGGCCTTTCTATTCTATTGGTAAGTACAGAAATAGTCACAATTTTTACAATACTTGTTCTTACAGTATTGCGTATATTTCCATTGTTTAATGGTTATTAACGGGTGGTAATGGTGCCATTATTAATGACAGTGGGTAACTTGGCAGACTTAAAGTCATCAATCCAACATCAATAACATGTATGAAATGGTTTTGAAATTATTTGCTGTTTAAAAAAGAAAATGAATACAGATGTTTTCTTCTTTAAATTACACCACATATTTCCACCAATGATGGTCTTGACCAGTTATTGAAGTTTACTGCAGAAAATACCTTTTCATATGTTATCTGTTGCACAAGACCCTTATTTTACTTCTTAATATGGTGAATATAAATTACTTTTGGTAGAATATGATTTTTTCCATAGGCTACAGTTTTCAAGGTGTTTATTTTGGAATTCCATACTCAGGTGCATTGTATATGTATGAAGGTTGTAGCCCTCTATCAAGCAAGATAAGAAAGGCAATCATTTAGTAGCTAACAGCCCATCAGTTTCAAATCATGGTTATCCACCAAACATTCCGGCGGCATTTGCTTCATGCTTTATTCCCTCAAAATCAATTATAGGGTAAAGGGGTGGGGGCAGCAATTCTATTTTAGGTTCATTTACCTACGGTGTTAGGTCCAACATTCAAGTACATTATGTAGTATTCCAATGAAAGTCAAAGTAAGAAGTTGGGGAGGTTAATTTCCCACAAGCTGTTATCATCAGAACAGTTATCTTCCAATCCAATTCATCACTGCATCATGCATGGGGATTTGTGTCTTCTTGATTTCATCATTATCTGTTTAAAAAATAAAGCCTTCTGTCCATTAGTTTAATAGTGTTAATATCATGAGAATAAGATCTTTCATACATGATTTGTTTTTATTATGTTTGCAGTTTATTATCCAAACAAAAATTACATCAATATAACAATCAAATGTGAATGTTTAACATTGAAAGGATGAACAGGACCAGAAATGAGCATTTAATGCTAATTATGTCTGGTACCACTAACACACAAAAGTATCACAGCAATGAATGAGAATGTAATGAATAAATGTGAATAACTATTGAATACAGACTTCAGCTACAAGGTATTCTACATCTAGGCTAAAATATGTTATGTGACTAAATACAAATGAATTGATACATTGGAGTATTTTGTGTTTATCATTAATTTTCAGTTGACAACAAGGAGGGAGATGAAGTCAGTGAAATCCAGACCGGTGGCAAGTACCTTCAAGGCAGTATTCATACATTCAATTCATACCTCAAGAAAATGACCGGCAAAGAAAACCCAAAGGTTCGTAATATGATATCGTAATCTTATAATTTGTTACTCTTGGAATTGTAAAGCTCAAGTTAATTTACTTGTAATACATCCAATATTTATCAATCGAGTGTCACAGGATATTCCGTTTGGAATGTCAGTAGTCAAAGGATAAATTTTCTTGCTTGTGAATCTATTTTACTCTTTGTATTTGGAAACTCAAGCAGTGGACTGGACTTTGTTATGACGAGGTTAGACCAAGCTCTTGATTATAGATGATGTATGTGCATAGCCGCCAAACCCCACCCCAGGATACCAGATGAATGAATGGATTTGCAAAATAATGAAGACAATTCATGAACAGAAAGAAAATGGAATAAAAGAGATAGAAAACGTTACACAAACATCAGTCAGTTTCAGAAAGGCTTCGTCTTTTCTTTGCATATTATCTCCTTCTGTCTTGTAGGTTGCATACTTTGGTGACAGCGTTCGTTCTGATGTCCTCCCTCCTCAGTCTGTTGGATGGCATCCTTTCCTCATCTTGGAGGAGATGGAAGCAGAAGGCCTGGGAGAAGAACCAGTGGGTGGGGAACAGACAGATGGCCCACCCATTAAGAGGGGGAAAATCACAGTGAGTTAATCAAGATCCAAGACAATATAGGTGCATGTTCTTGAATATTAACCCCACACCCACCCTACTTTCACAAATACCCACACACACAAACACACATGTAACCACACAGAGAAAATTGTTCTGGGATACAATGATTAACTTCCTCCATGTAAAAATGACAATTCATCCTAACCCTACCCTAACTCTACCCCTAACCCCACCCCTACCCCTACCCCTAACCCTAACCCCACACCTACCCCTAACCCTAACCCTGGCCCTAACCCTACCCCTAACCCCACACCTACCCCTACCCCTAACCCTAACCCTAACCCTATCCCTAACCCTACCCAAACCTACCCCTTCCCCTAACCCTAACCCTAACACAATATTCCAAGACATCGTTGAATAATTTTAACCCATCTCAATTTATAATTTACCCTGCGATTAATCTTTGTTTCTGTGTTGTTATTTTTTCCATTCAAAGAAGGGAGAATTCATAAAAGGTTCAATATATTATATTGATTATAGATAATGCTTTGTTATTGGATAATACATATCATTATGTATGATATATTGTCCTTAAACACCTCTAAAGTTCCTTTGACATTCTTACTCTTTCTTTAACTCAGGCTACTGTTTATAGAGTACAGTGCATTTTGAGGAATAAACGCTACCAGGTACCCACTAATGAGTGTACGTTTGTGGAGAGTGGCAAATGTAGATGAATGTATTTCAATATAACATTTATGCAATGATGGATCCTCTAGCCATTACCTTCTCAATCCCAGTTTCATTTCTACATATTTTTTACTTCTTTAAATGTTGAAAGAAATCAAATTTCTTCTTTACAGAGAAGCTTAGGGTTGTTGTTTTGAAATCTCTAAACCATAAATATAATTGTACATTTTGTATTCCATACTGATTTTTCATGACACCCTCTTTGAATTTTTATATTAATTTTGTAAATGAATTTAGGATTCTGTACATAACGTTATGTCAATTTCAGCAATATTCAGTGTATATTACATGTACAGTAGATGCAGTTTCTATTGCTGTAATTATAGGAATCGGTTGGTAAACATGATATAGACCGATAGTTCAATGTGCAGAGACTAGATCATGACAGCAAAGTCCCAAGCATAATAGTTTGTGATTCATGATTAGTTGTTATCAAACAGTAGATGGCACTCTTTCTGAATAAATTGCCTTCTTTGTGGGTAATGTTATATTCAATTACAAAAAAATAGTATGTTTGTTATGTATGCATGTGTAATGCATTATAAAATGTCATGTTTTCTAATTTTGCACCCATATGCTCGATCAAGCTTTAAAATTTTGTATTCTTACATACTGATTTATTTTTGTATGATTTGCAAATGTTATGTAACTGCAGTTATTTGACTTATACTGATGATTCCTTTTGTATTACTTCATTACTTCTCCTTTGTAACTTTCAGGGTCCATCAACAACAGAGAAAGAGTTCATTACATCAAGCATGTGGGGGTCTTTCCTCACTGACCAAACAGTTCTAAACATACCTGATGGAAGTGTTCACACTGGAGGGGATGAGCTGGATGGCCAGAGAGATGCAAATGGGCTGGGTGATAGTCAATTCCACAGTCTGAACACACTGTGGGGATACTTCATCCAGACCTATGTAGATGTGGCTATCCCACAACTTGACTATATTGCAGGTATGTGTATGTAGCATTGTAAGTTTTATCCGAAAACAGTATTGGTTATGTCAAGACATTTAATCGTTTTGTGGATGTCATTGTCTAGCAAGATGGTGTTTGTTTTTAATCATTTGACTTACATTTGTGCTTGGTTAGGAACTAAGACTGTAGCAATCTCTATAGCACTTCTTCAAATCTGCCCTAAAAGTAGAAATCCATAGACAAATTTTGCAAATCACTTATTAATTGCAAATTTAACAACGCAAGAAAATGTTTCAAGCAAGTATTATGACAAATGTCAAAATCGCTTATATAAGTAAGCCCCTTTGCATGTTGCACACATCTAAACATGATGGCCTAAGCTGTGACCTGGTCTTGCAACCAGTTTGAGACCCAACTTATTGTAATGTAGGCACTTGAATAATTCTTATAATATGATGATTCATGATCCGTGGAAATTGAATAAAGATTTCTAAAAATTATAGAATGAGTAGTGGTAGTTGCTTTAACCCTATTTAGCCCGGGCTATTTTGAAACTGCATAGCCCAGGGGGGGGCTTCTCAGGCCCCCCCCTGTGATCTCGGCCGTGAAACGCCCGATCGCCGCGAAAATGTGCATACATGTCAAGTGAAGTGTATAGAATACTATGGTAATTTCAATTTTTTTGAAAAATTCACTCATTTGCATATTTATGGTAATTTATGCAAATAAGGTCATTAAATTCACATTTTTGCCCATAAATCAGACATTATTCATATTTAAGCATTCTTTCTCACTACATATATTTGTTAGACCATTTGGAATAATAATACAACACAAAAATTTGAAAAACCAGGGTTATTCCTTATGTTATCTATTGTTTTGATAATTTCTTATGTATTTCTTTGTTTTTTTAACTTCTGTATTTTATTGTTTTTGTTGTTTTATTTCATTTCCAACTATAATTCAACTATTTTGACCCCAAAATAAACACCTAAAATCTAAACAAGACCAAATAACCAATGTTTTACCTCTTTATTTGAAAAATGAGATTTCCATATGTTTTGTACACAAATCACAAAAATGAGCGATTTTCGGGCTGACATGCGAAGACAAAAGGACACGTGACTTTGTAATGGTAGGTCCGATTTTCGAAAAATTTCTTTCAAAAGTTGCGCAAGACTCGAAAGAAAAAAGTCACAAAATTTCAGTGCAAGATTTTCTTGCCTTAAAAAATTATCGCGAAAAATGTCGAGGGGGGGGCTTCTCAAGCCCCCCCCCGGGCTAAATAGGGTTAAGCAAATTTTTACAATGTGCAAATTTGTGCTTGAATCCTTGTTCAGTGAAAAATATCTTTACAAAATATTTTCTGATACGATGTACCTTAAAGGTAACCTGCAGGAAGACATAAACACATATGACATATTGCTAACCCTTTTATGTGGTGTCACCTTTACAGATCTTCCACTTGACCATCAATTCAGTACTTTTGCAGATGCTTCTCATCGTTCCGCAGGGTTCTATCCGCAACCTCCACAAACTCTCCAGAAGAAGTGAAGTCCACCGAATAATACAGTACTTATATTCATTGTGTTATTATGTCTACCATTAATCATTGACGTTGTCTGGCATTAATTGAATGTACATCCAATTTTGTGATTGTAACGAGAATACAGGAACTTTTAGAATATTTATTTCAGGTAAGGTGTAACCCCGGATTTATTGTGTTCTATTTTTATTGTAAGAAATGAATACTTGTATCATCTTGTCTAATTATTCACATTTTCAGGGAATGATGATACAATTGTAAATAAATATTTTGTCTTCATAATTACAATTCCCCTTGCACGCTTGCATATAAATGGTGCATATTTTTTTTGTATAGGAAAAGCTCTTAGGGAGTGGAGATGGTGCACACATTTTTTTCCAAATACATGTAAAGTGTTGTAAAGTGCATTGAGGTATACATGTAATGTGCTTTCTCAATGTGAACTATTATTATCATTGTAGATTATCACAATACCCCCCCCCCCCCCCCCCCGATAGAACAGTGAAATAAAAGTAAAACGGCAACTGACTTTAGGCCAGGAAGTTATTAAATTCTACTATTGAAGAAAAAAATATTAGTAGTATTTACCCTGTTTAAAGGTACTACAAAGTTTTGGGAAATTTTGAAAATTGGGTGGATAGTGATTCTTTACAATTTTGGTATTTTTGGATGCTGCTGTGAATGTATTATAAGCACTAACAAATTTAGCTCCTAAAACACTTCTGCTTTTGAGAAAAAATGAATATAAACATTTACCGGTGCTCCCGATAAATTTTGATGAATTTCAAATCGCGCCTACAGCCATACAGCTGCGACCATGAAAATTTCAGAATATGTAGTTGTGAAATATAACTTCTAAAACAGGAATAGCTAATCGTTCAATTTTAGTCAAGAAACATTGTTTTATAGCTTAATCAATATCTTGACCATGGGAGGGAGCTATACAACATGAAGAGTTTAATATTTACAATTTCATACCTTTAGACAACGATCACTGAATATTGTAGGATCGCATATGCTTCCAATATGTTCATTCGAACCAAATTCATGACTTCATACCAAAACTTTGTATTACAGGGGAGAGTAGAGTAAACGTGTGTTTCGTAAAGGCGATTTTATTTTGTGCATAGTTTAGAGTAGATTAATCTTAATGAGATGGCTGGATCACTTCTTTATACTTTGGCTATGTTGCGGCCTCTTTTATAGACTGTCCAATGCAATGTGATTTTCAGTGCTGTGTATTTTTTTAATTTAGATTAAGTTTTGGAGTTACTTTTAATTGCTTTTATTATGTGTTGGTATAAGCTTGTTCCTTTGTATGGCCTGTTTTTTTTTAAATAATCATTTATTCATTCTGAGATGCAGTTAACGACTTGATTGACCCACCAGAGCTCTTAGTGAGAGTGTGCTGTTAATCCACATTTCTTGCACCATTCAGTGACGCTATTCACATTTTGCGAAGCAAAAATATATTTATTTATATTTATATAAATAATTCCAAAATTACTAAATGGATTACTCAAACCCTAATGACTTAAAACATAAAACAGAGTTGTTTTATTATGACCATTTATGTGTTTGTTTATTCAAGATTATCAAATGTATACAATTTCTTGGTGAATATGTCCCTAAGTGTACTATCCCCCAAAAGATGGGTCAAACCATGACATATTTCCCCTACTAAAGTGATCATGTTACTCCCTGTATTATAGAATCATTAATGCTATGAAATAGCTGATTTGGCATTACATTTTAATATTTTATTCTTGTATTGCAAATGTAACTCCTTCCTATGTTTTGATACAGATAGAAGCATTTTGATTGACATCACAACTCACTTTGTTGGTGTTTTTGTTGCTGCCAATCTATAATATGCATGAGAGATGAATAATGAGCTAACTGTTAAGAACAAATGTGAATAAATTCTTACCAGAAGAATGTACAGCATGGTGGTTAAAAGTGTGATTTGTGTGTCGTATACTGGAAAGATGAATAAATCTGAAGTTTTGTGTGAGTAAATCATTATGTCATTTTGCATTAGTTGGATCTGTTGACTCTGTATATGAAATTTACTGACATTTTAACCCTTATTGTACTGGGGGGGGGGGGGGCCTGGGAGGCCCCCCCTCGACATTTTCGGAGATCGCGCCGCAACCGATTAGAATTTTGAATTGTCGTTTCATGACTTTCTTCCCTCAAGTCTTGCGCACATTTTGATACCATTTTCGTCAAAATCGGATATACCTGTAAGGTGTTACATAATAATTAGTATGCGCATGTCATCAAAAAAGTGCTATAATTGCATATATTCATGTACAAGCAGAAATGTGAAGATATGAATTGATATCAAATTGCCTTTATATGTTTCTCAGAGTAACTTGATGTATTCCAGAACAAAAGAATACATTAGAAATAAAACAATAGATATAATAAGAAATAAAAAACAATAAAATACATAAGAAAATAAATAGTTGAAAATCGCATCAAATCTGCATAAATTATCATTATTAATTACATCAAATAACTATTTTGTGTTAGAAAAGAAGTTTCATATGAATAATGAGTTTTAACATTCAAAAAGTGGAGTCTGACAATTTTTGTAATGAATTTAGTTCCCTAAATATAGTTCCAGATTTGATATTCATGAATGCGTAATTTGCGTATTCATAATTTATGCAAATTAACCTATGCATTTTCAAATATCATAAAAAAAATGAAACCTCATGAATTTGAGATAAAGGAAACATTTATTCAACATATTTTCAAGATTCTTCACAAGTCTACGGACAAATTTGTAGAGTTTTCTGTAAAATGCATCAAATTAGCATTTTGCATAATTAATTAGGCTATAACGACAAAAATTTGCATATTAGGAAAAAACTAATTATACCATCTTGTTCCTTACGTAAATATCTACAAATATGCAAATTTTCGTGTTCATCGGACATTCGACGGCCGAGATCATAGGGGGGGGGGGGGGGGCCTCCCAGCCCCCCCCCCCCCCCCCCCCCCCAGTCAGAGGGTGCTCAAAATAGCCCAGTACAGTAAGGGTTAATAAATCGTTTATGCAGAAATCTTTCCTAAGCCTATCCTTCCTTTTTAATAATGTAAAAAAAAGCTAGTTTTGTTTTCATATCATTGTCTTCGAAATCTCGACTTGTCTTGTAGAGAGTACTTCAAAACTGTGCATTATAAAAGATGATTGATGGGAGTTGATATGAATATGTAAAGGGGATTTTAAGTAGCGAGTAATAGCTGGTTGAGAGAGAGAGAGAGAGAAAGTGAGAGAAAGAGAAGATTTATGGGGGAGTTAAAGGTAAAGACCAGTTATGGTCATGCGATTGCATTGTGAAAGAAACGTTGTGGAATCGATCAGAAAAGGTTGATCATCTAGCATCTAGCATCTGCAAGGTTCTGGAATCATCAAAATGATAAGAAATTTGGCCCATTCTTTGTAAAGTTACAAGCACTATACACAGAAAGATGTATATGGGACTACCCTATATCTCTCACAGACCATGAGAGAAACACATTTACCAAATATATGAATTAGTAGGCGGTTTCCCGGCAAATTTTTTATCATCATGTATTATTCAAAACATATTCTTTCACATGATTGGTAATGAGAGCTTCCATTTCATTTTTTGAAACTGGGGCGTTTCCAATACTGGTCTTTACCTTTAAGATAACCCAGCTTCTTCAAAGTATCTCTGAGCAAATTTGATTAAAAGATGGCTGTTCGTGTTCAGGAAATCTGAATTATTTCCTGTTTCATGGGGAGCCACGTTATATTCACAAAATGCACCTATGAATATTTTGAATTTTTGCTAATCTCATGTTTACCTCAATTTTGTAACCCTGATTTTTGTATGTGCTTTTGAATTTCAAGCGAATAAAGAACATGAAATAAAAAAAAAAATTAAAAAATGAAGTACTATTACACCACATGAACAAAATGAGAGCAAAAGCTACTTAAGATTCTGCTGTTTCATTAAGTTTATTATAGAATTGATTCCAGTTTACATCACATACAAAAGAGGTCAAGAGGACTTTCCTTTCTATTTTAAAGGACACGTATCATTTCGTTTTCTGTATACTGTACAATACAATTATTAGTCGTCACTTGTTTATCTTGCAAATATATCGTCTTAAATAAATGGTTATTTATAAACCATTGGAAAAAGGGTTAGAGCAACTTCTGATTTTGGGTTATGGGTTACATTTTAGTTTGATATTGAACACATTAATTGAAAGCAAAATGTAAATGTAAATGTTTATTTGATATCACACCCCATTACACACTGGAAAATTAAATTATTATTTCATGTAAATTTAAATAAGGAGCATACCATTTAACAAATAGCCTTTCATTTTAAATTTATATTTTTAAAATTTGTTATCAGTGCAAAAGAATTCTTCAAGTGAGTCACCTCAATTTATAAAAAGAGCATGCAACTTTAGGGATTGGCATTCAAAATAATGTTCCCTCACTTGAATTCATTATCCTTGCAACATCTTTGTAGTGAGGCCTTCCATTTTAACTAGGAGCGTAACATTTAAGAAATATGAAAAGTCTGGATTAACATTCATATTGAAATCTTTATCATACATTAAATTATTGAAGAAATTTGGTTCTAAATTATTAATAAATTTAAATGTAATATATGTACATTTAGTAGTATGAAACATTACATGCATTATTCATCGATATATATTAGCAAAGGATGTACACTTAAACACCACTGATTACTTAGTCTCTATTTTTTCCTTCAGGATTTTTGAAAATTTGTAATCTATCATACATAATTTGATTAAAATGGATATAGTTGAAAATCAACAACGAAGAATTATAAATATCTACTGTGTATACACCCAATTGTTTTTAGAAAACATATCAACCACTATCCAAAACCTGTAAATGTGATAACGCAATGTTTGTTAAAATGTATATTAGGCATTAATCAGCAGTATAATACACAAGTGCCCATAAAATAAAGTGTACTGAGTAATTCATTATGATAATTATACTTTAATTATGCGACATATAACCTCATATAATCCTTAATCATTTGCAACCATAGAAAAAAAGCATATCATTTAATATCAATTTTCCATTTTACACTTGGATATATTAAAGCAAATAACTGTTTTCTAGAATAATACATATGTACATTCATTCCCTCGGTGCATTACAAATACCTCCTTGACAAAGAAAGAAATGCAGGAATATCAAGCATTAAGTCTGAATTCACCATTGCATATTTTCTAACTTTTACTGTGCTTGTCAAACATATGCTTTCTTTTTGATAACATTTGACCTTTGGATCATAGGGAATTTTGGCATAGGATATTCTTTACATATCCCTAGGATTTGTTGCCTCTTCGCTTTTGAATAATTAGTTTTAGTTGTTTTACCCTTTGTGAAGTGGATCTCTATCTGGCCTTTATATAAAGCATCATGACTTGCGGATGCGTAACTGTACTGGTGTGAAGAATCCTCATAGTGATCTGATTGTGAATCGTTTATAGATATATATCTGGCGACTCTCCATCGAAATAGACTCGATGAAGATTCTGATTGAAAGTACAGGAAGTTTCTAATGAAAAGACGTGTTGACAACTTTAACATGAATTGGAGTTTTAGTAGATTTGACATACCACTATAAGTTGCACTTTGCTTTCACAATTCTAAATCACTTGAGATAATTCTACGTTAACTGCAAATTAAAATGGAATGTTAATAAAGGAACAAAGAATTGCAATGCTGATGAATTTACATCAATATGCATCAATGTTGGAGATGTCAAGTATTTGTCTTCAATATATTTAGCTTAGGAAAATCACCATGGCAACTACTTTTGACAAATCAATCGAAGGGGGATTTCATTACGCTATTGTATGTCCCATAGAAATCATGTTCGAGTTACGTAATACATCATTGTAATTGTCAGAACATTTCAAGACGTGACGTACAAGGCCATTTAGATTGCCTTAGGTAGATTATTTGAAAGTACTTGCGATCATGTTATATTATATAAATGATATGCATTACATAGACAAAACATTTACAGGCATAGATGACTTTATAACAGTTTTTTTTCTTCATTTGGAGTCTTAACTATTACTATGTCTCACAATAAAGGAAAACAATTCTATACAAACAAGATGTCTCGATTATAATTCATATTTACATATTCATCAAACATAAGTTTATTGAACAATTTGATTCTTATTTACTAAAAAGTTAAATGTAATATTCATCTGTTTGTATTAAATGATACACGCATGAGTCATCAATATATCATCAAAGGCTTGTATACTTAACACCACTGATTAGTATGATTTATTTTCCTTCTCTAGGATTTCAGGAAGTTTGTAATCTATCATGCATTTTGCAAACTCCCCAACATGAGAAAATACAATTCATCACTCAGTATGTCAAATGAAATTCTCCAATATCGTTCATCAGCACTACTTAGTTTGAATTGGATTTGGTTGAAAATCAATGACCAATAATTATCAATATTTACAGGGTATACACACAATTATTTTCAGAGAACATATAAACTATTATCTAAAACCTTTAAATGTGATAATACAATGCTTTTATAAATGTGAGACATAAATCAGCAGTATAATAAACATTTCCATTTTTAAAATATAGTGCAATGAGTAATCCATCATAGAGATATGGTGCAACATATTACCTCATTTTAAATCGGGCCGCAAATTTCGCATCGACTCAGCCAGCCGCTGAATAAGCGGGGGGGGGGTAAGAGGACACTTTTTTTTTGTCTCGAAATTTGAAAATTTGACATTTTGCTCCGATGGGGGGGGGGGGGTTAGGTCGCCTTTTTTAGGTCAGCCATGGGAATATTTTTTTTTTATTTTTTTTTTTATATTATTATTAAAAAAAAAAAAAAAAAAAAACCAAAGGAGGGTTTAGCTTTTTTTTAGGGGGATTTATACACATAAAAATACCAAAGGGGGGGGGGGTTAACCCCCAAACACCCCCCCCCCCTGCGTACGCGTCTGCCCTATTGTATGTCCCATAAAAATCATGTTCGGGTTACATAATACATAATTGTAATTTTCAGAACATTTCAAAGAGGTGACGTACAAGGCAATTATAATTACCTTAGGCAGGTCTGTCAATTTTGGGGAACTGCTTTTAGGGAGATCGTATGCAATTTTTTTTTTGCTCAACAGGGAAGGGGGGTGTTGAGTGAGAAAAATAAAATCGAAGTGCTCACTACCCCCCCCCCCACACACACACACACTCCTTAGTCTCTATTTTTTATTCAGGATTTCTGAAAGTTTGTAATCTATGGGAAAATACAATTCATAACTCATGTCAACAAACTTTTCTCTAATATCATACATTAGCACTAATTTGATTAAATTGGATGTAGTTGTAAATCAACAACGAAGAATCATAAATATTTACAGTGAATACCCAATCGTTATTAGAAAACATATCAACCATTATCGAAAACCATTAAATGTGATAATGAAATTTATGTTTAAATGTATACATGTTAGACAACAATCACAAGTAAATTACACATTTCTATTCAATAAGTGCCCATATATCCATTATAAGAACTGTGTTGTAACATATTAACTCAAATCATCCTTAATATATCCTGGATATAAGCAAATAAATGTTTTATGAAATGATAATATTTACATTCATTCCGTCGGTACATTAGAAAAAATCTCTTTACGGGAAAAGACATAAAGGATTATTAAGCATCAAGTCTTGTTTTACCATTGCATATTCTCTAACTTTCACTGTGCTTGTCAAACATATGCTTTTTGTTTGATAACATCTGACCTTTTTAATTGCCATGTATCGTTGGGAATTCTGGCATAGGATATTCCTCACATATCTCCAAGATTTGTTGTCTCTCTGCTTTTGAATGATTATTTTTAGTTGATTTCCCCTTTGTAAAGTGGATCTCTACCTGTCCTTTATTTCCATACACAGCATCATTGATTGCGGATGTGCAACTGTACCGGAGTGAAGAATCATCATAGTAATCTAATTGTGAATGTATTGATGATATTTCTGGCGAGTCTCCAGTGAAATAATCATGATGGACATTTTGATTGAAAGTACTGAAACTGCTATCTGTACTTGAAGATGAAGAATTACTGACATATACAACTGGTGTTGTATTTGCACACTTTATTGTATTCACATGTTTCCATTATTTAACTCAGATGCTTTACATACTCTTGATAAGGATCAACAAATTTAAGTGGCTGTCTGCGAATTTCAGAATTTTGTGTTTCATGTACTTCATCTGTCTGGGTATTTTGATGATGGGATAGGAAAGAAATTTCATTTTCGTTACTTTGCATGTTTAACCTTACAGTCTCGCATACGTTGTGATTCTGACTATATCTGTTCTTTCTCTTTTGTTTCAGTAAACATATCACTAGAAAAATGACGACAATACCTAATCCCAAAGAGATGCAAATAAAGGACTTTGCTAATGCTTCCCAATGAACATTGATATTTGTACATGATACTTTGTCCCCCATTTCAGTTGAAAAGGGGGCATTTTTTATTTTGGATGTAAAACTCAGAGGTTTATTAGTTGGTGACTCTGATGTTTCAATATATGTATCTTTTCCATTGAGCAAACAAAGAGTCATATCTGTGGCTGGCTTCTCAAGAAAGTTCCATTTAAAATCATCACATTGCCTGAGACCCCTCCTTTTTGTGTACAGAGAAGTACAACAAACTCCAGGCAGGGATTTCCTCACCCAAAATGTTTGCCAAAATCTTGAACGATTTTGATTTATTTCATTCCTAGGTGGTATTTTCTCACATTCTTGATAGCAATCAAAAAGCCCAGATTGACTACCAAGCAGTGCAGTGCATGTCAGAAATGCCCAGCCTTCCGTTGTTTTAGCTACTGTTTCAAAAGTGCAACTTGCTTTTCCTGGTGTATAGTCTATGTTCAGCGCTATTCTTTTGATGGTAACACTGTAAGCATGACGTGTGTCAGTAACTAAACATATATAAGTACCTGCATCTTCTCTTGTAGTATTCACGATTTGAACATGTATGGAAGTTGTTTCGTCTCCTTCTTTTGTGGTCTGTACAGAAAACCTCCCTACTTGGTCTTCAGTGAGACCTGGTGAATATATTGTTCCTGTCCTAGAATAATAGAATGGATATCTAGTCCCAATTTGGATGGTAAAAGTAAAATTGTTTTGGTATGGAAATATAAATTCAAGGGCTGCTAAATCACCCTCATGTAGTCTAACATGTGTACACAAAGCAAATACTATAATTACACTAAATATTAAGAATATTCCTGGAAATTTGGCGTTACAAATCATGTTTATTTTGAGAGAAAAATTGACTTGTGTCTGAAAACCTACTTGAGCTGCATGAAAATAATGTTACCTTAAACTCTTATGTCATCTTAATAATGGCTTTAAGAAAAAGAATATTTTGATATCTTTTAATATGATAGTATTGCAAAGAAATGAAAATCAACGGCATGTACGTTATGTACACTATTCACTACGTTTAAAAAAATACAGTCTCTGCGAAGCATAGTAATTAAATGTTTGCAGTACCTGTTGCATGAGTCCGCATACAATCTTGGCAGTCCTTTCAATGGTTGCCGTATTGTTTCACTCACTGAACAACGGTTAATATGTCCTTCTTTAACCATAAGTTAGGCTTTATATTTTCATCCTCCAGTAGCAGAGTATTGACCAATAAGTTAAGGTTTCCATGGACTGTAGAGAAACAAATCGTAGATCCCTTTCGTTAACCACTAAATGAAATCATACTGTAACCCTGAATAGGATGACTTGCAATTCACATGAATTGTTGTAGAGATACAGTGTTCTTTTCTTGCCCACTGCAATTCACTGGCGGTGATAGGTGATAAGCATGCAGATGTATACACTTTGCATTAAAGTAAAATGGCAACACTCAAAGTTGTATCTGTAGATTCCAGTATCTGTCGTAGCTTTATCCTTGATAGTTGGCATTACCAATAAATATCCATAAAATATCCCTATTCAGTCTTTACAAAAGCTTTTCTCGTGATTATAACTGAAGTACTTTCATGTTCTTTAACATCCTGATAGTGTGACAACTTAAAGGAACAGTTGTCTTTCGGTACTATGACATTCGCACTTGTAATGGAATCCTTCACTGTAGCAAACACCTGATCCTCACGTTTAGAAATAGTTTGTTCCAATCCAATTAGTATCCTGTGCATGTAAAAGACAAGTTAAAATCTTAAAACAGTCTGAAAACATATTGAAAGAAGAGCTTCTTAATTTGAAAGAAATGATTCTGAACCAATTAAACTTTGCTAATTATATATACACTTAATCAGCATATAACAGATGGTAGATTTCGTAAATATAATGCAGAGGCTTAACAACTATAAGTAATGGTTTGTTTTGAATAATCGGTACGTCTCTGTTGAATTTCTTCTTCTGTGATATAAGTACAGGCCACCGTCAGGAGTATTCTAGTAATAATGCATGTGCTGTGCAGGTGTATATATACAACTTGATGACGGAAAGATTGATAGAGCTGTATGTACACCCTTGTATTCTAAAAACTAGACATCCAGAGGCATTAGATAATTGAAGAAAAAAAGATGTGACTTACCATATAGTTCATACTTTGTGCTGCACTTTGCTACATAATTTCGTCGTGAATTATTCGCGATTTCACGATTCGCGATGTCCCTTCTGGGACATCATAGATCTTTGGTATAAAATGATGGGAACAGACGCGATATGTTTATGCAATAAAATACCACAGCCAATACTAGGGGGTGCGGCATGCATGTGATTCACAAATTGATGCTGAACAGATCGGAAAGAAATATCACTTTTATTACCCTTTATTCACTGCACACAAAAATCCCCGTCCGCCACCTGATCTGAGTGCACAGTTGAGGTTCCATACACAAAGTTTGCATGAAAGGTAGGTGTACTGCTTGACATATTAAATGACAACCATTTCCGTTGGCTTCTCGAAAAATAAAGCGTTTTTTCTGTCTACTATTCACAATGGGGTAGTTCACGTTGTACATGGCATTCACGCTTCAAAACGCTTGAATACCTTGATATTGAAAGGGACTTTATGAGGAAGTTCCCAAACAGAAATGTTTAACAAATATTTCTAAAGAATCAAAATTATAAAAGTAAGGAAAAAATAGGGTATTTTAGATTTGCGCGTCGACATAGTGGACTGCTACCGTAGCAGCTCACTATGATGATGTGCAAATGTAAAAGCCCCTAATAGCAAACACTAATGTACATTTACAAAGAGTATTCAACAGCCGTTAAAATGTTAATCTAAAGGGCGGTAGCATGCTATTGTAGGCCTATGCATGGGCTAAAGTGTTAAAGGTTAGCATTCATCTTTTACCCTATGTCAAAACATCAAGCAACATCAGCTACAAAGATGGTGTTGCGATCTAATACTGGGAAAGCTGATCTCAAATCATTTCTCTCTCTATGTCTCTCCGGCTTGTGATGCCATCAGAAACTCAGAAACTCGGAGTTTCTGAGGGTGGGGTGGGGTGCAGGGATCGGGGTATTGTGTACTAACGTTATGTTGAAAATCTTGGGGCCTTTTTTTACTAAAGTATATTTGAGCATTGTGTCGATGTCATGTTTGTTTTTCCAATTTCTCACCTATTTTGAATGTAATTATTTCCTATTTCAATGTCATGCTTTTTATGTCTTTTTATACATGATTTTAATGTAAACGCAATATGTAAAATCCCTAGATGTATTTCCATGTCACTATGGGACGAAATAAAATTGAATCTTGAAATCTTGAATCTTGAGGTTTTTTTTTGCTGAAGTTTGCAGAAGGGGGATAAGTATAATGCTTGACATATTAAATGGCAAACATTGTGTATTGGCTTTTTAGTTAGTTAACAATTGATTTTCATGACCAGACAGATAATCAAGACTCTTCTGTCCTTTTTACTTCAACGCAGGATACATCAAACTGGGTTGGACTCTGCCAAAATCGGAATCTTGATTGATTAAAATTCAGAACATCTGGGATTTTTATCTGGAATCCTTCTTCAGTACCTTAATTCACCCGATACATATTATATTGAGATTGGAATCAAGTGCCATGACACATCACGTGGAATATGGATAGCATTAACAACTGTAAACATACTGCAATAGAAGTATTACAAAGTAATTCTCCCTAGTGAACTTTTGAACAGTGTTGAGAACAACTGATTATTCACTGGTAAAAATTTCATACAAATTACAACACTATGCATATCAAAAGTGCCTATATTGTGACTTGAACCAACATGTGAGTTCCCAACATCAAACACCTATTCGTCTATTCTTATTACTTATCTACTCCTAACAATGGACAATTTATTTCAATCACATGAAGGTACAGAGTGCATGCTGCAGTACATGATTCTTCCACAGTGTTGAATCCATCATTGTGTCTGCTGATAATTGTTCTCTTGAGTTATCAAACTACCAAAGTGACAACACAACTAGTGCACACTCACAGCACAATCAGGAACGAACACTTTGTTGACACTGAAGAACTAGATGTTCATGTTATAGTGCTACTGACAATCAGATATGTATCTACATCATATGCTGGAATCTACAGTTGCCACATCAATTGTAATAACGTCACTTGGCTAATATTGTGAATAAAAAATAACACAAAATTAAATCATAAATGACAGTAATAAGGATTAACGCCCCACAAAAGGGCACTAATAAAGCACATCGACACGGTTTTGATCCTGGGGCCTCACAGTTACGAGGCCATTGCTGTGTCACTGAACCATGACTGTACGCAGCGGGGGCTAGGGTAGGGGGCAGTTTCATTAAATAAAAAGAAAAAAAGAAAATGCAATAAATTTTCAATAATTTATTGCATTTTACCCCGGTTCCCAACATAAAAAAAAATCCTCTGGACGGCCATGCATTAAGGCTCAAGGCATGGGCACACAAAGGATTTGTTTATTACATTTTCTTTTTTTATTTTTATTTATGGAAACTGCCCCCTACCCTAGCCCCCGCTGCGTACAGTCATGGTTCAGTGACAAATGGCCTTTGTGAGGCCCCAGGATCAAAACCTTGTCGATGTGCTATATTAGTGCCCTTTTATGGGGCATTAGTCCTCATTACTGTCATTTATGACTTAGAGGCGTAGGTTCCCTAGTTGATAAGCATAGTAACATACACATGCTTTAGCAGTCACGCAAAACACACATTGTTAAATTATTATTCAATCAAATCTGAGAATGTATACTATTATCTAGATCTATTATTTTTAAATTATTTTAAAAATAATTCCATAAATTGGGGTAAAACTAAAATATTCCAACTATATGAGCGACAGTGTATATTAAAGACTTCCCTCTTTAATAAGTTTAGAGCGACACACACATGTGAATGTATGAGTGACAGACCTTAATCAGAGTCCTTTCTAAGGATTTTGATATACTTTCAAAAGCCTCTCAGAAACGTTGTGTGTTGTATCAATGCCCAAGCCAGACTCCTCATATAATTGACAATGGAGCTATAAGCGATCCTTAAATGGTATACAAAATATACACCGTCTTGAGAGGTTCTGTTTGAAAGAGGTGACTCGTACTATTTGCTAAGAGGCGCAGCCCCGAAGCAATTGGTACCATTGGAATCACCGAGGCCCATAGTTTTAACCAGTACCTCGGAAAGAAGGCATGGTATATTGTTTTACTTCCTGCTTTAACAAAATTCTCTTTTTATAAATTAAAAAACAATTAAAAAAATTATCGAAATTAAAAAAAATTATATTGTTTTTTTTCTTTTTTAATTTCAATTAAAAAGAATTACAAATAATAACAATTTATTAAATGAAGATTAAAAAAAAAAAAATCAACTCCCAAATAGAACTCCCAAATAGTACTTCCACTCCTAAATAATACTCTCAAATAGTACTTTTTCGAGCAACCTTGAAATAGTCACTATTAATATAAAGAAAAAAAGTCTGGTCACGTGATGAGCTTTCAACCACCAATCAAACACCAATGAATTGTTGAAGCAGGATATAATAATTTCTATTTTTAGTCCTAAAGAGTACGATAGTGAAACCGTAGGCGCACGCTATTCGAAAAGGGCTTCTGATAAACGTATGCACAGTAGAAGGAGGGGTAAAGCTCAATGTAAAGTCATGGCAAATCTAGCATTTTCGCAAACTATATATTTGTTTTTGTTTTTATTTTACATGTTTTTTATTGCAAGAACATGTGATGCATCTTTGTGTCAGAGGTTATCTTCAAAGTTTTTAGTTGAGCCAACCGATATACAGTTAAGGAGAGGTGAGAACGCAGTATTTCAGTGCTCCGTGGCTGACTTTAATCAACGGACTAAATCCATAGATTGGAGAGTATATCCAAATCCATATACCAAACCAGTGAGTACTGAAATATATGATGATGACAACAGAACATTGAATTCAAATGTTACAGTTCCTAGTTCTTCCACGCATACCCTGCTTTATATTTCTTGCATCGTAGAGGAAGTGATTCAACAAAAGAGTGTGTGTTTTTCTTCAAGACAAGCTTTGATGGATACAATATACTTTCCAACAGAAGATGAGTTATCTTGTAATCCACCACTTCTCAATGATGTCAACATTGGAGAGACGTTGTCTTTAACATGCAGTGTTCTAAGGGGTAATCCCCCAGTTGATCTGAGCTGGAAGGTTGTTCCTGGCAGACAAACATTTCCTCCTTCACTAAATGATAAAGGTTCCTTCAGAGTACTTACTCATGATTTATCCATAACTCGCAATCTACATTTGAAAGTTTTACGCTGTAAAGTATCCAGTGAATTTTCATTTCCTGGGGAGAAATTGCAGTGTTCTATTGGACCAATCATGGTACGCCATCCTCCAGAAGTTCATGTCTTTCCTCAGACTAAATATATTAAGCTTCATGAACCAGCTGAACTTACATGCACAGCAGATGCCTATCCTGGGGTAAACAATTTTACTTGGTCGTGTTTTCCAGAAGGTGTTCTGAAAGGATGTGGCATTACTTCTTCATCAAGACACAGTTTCATTCTAAATGAGACAGGTTTGTGCATGTCAAAGGTGGATGGCGTACACATAGCATGTTCTGCAACCAACCCAGAAGGGAAGGGTACAGGGTATGCTTATCTTGACATTGCTAAAGACATAATTACTTGCGAAAATAATTATACAATACATTCCCCGAGAGGAAATCTTTTTGGTGAATTACATGTAAACATTAGCCTTTATCAGAACTTAGTAACTGAAGGTTTCACTTTTGTGTGTGTTATTTTTAGTCTTCCCACTGTGTGCTCTGCTCATTTCCAATGGTATATAGACAATATAAATGTCACTAGTGATCACATATTTGTTGTTCAAACTTTACCTGTAATGTCCACTTTAACACTTTTAACAAGTGTTCAAAGATCAGATATTACAAAAACATTTACTTGTGAAGCTACCGTCGATGGAATGAGAGCAACAGCATCTACAACCCTAAGCTCTTTGTTGAAAATCAAACAAACAGAATTTTCATCTAGTGCTAATACAGTAAGTCTAGAATATTCCGCGGTAACACCACTTTCCAATAACATAAATACATATGTCAATGAGCAACTTACAGAATATTCTACAGATGTACAAGTTACAAGTGTTTATTCAACACAGAAGTTTCCGGATGCACTAGATCAAAATGGACCAATTTTAGAACCAATCATGATGATGGTCATTAGCGGAATTGTACTGTTAATAGCTATTGTAATGATAATGATTAGTATATATCTATGTCGAGTCAATAGAAAGGCCCCACAAGAAACGCCTTCGTCTTCAAGTCCAATGACTCCCAAACCTCGTATAATGAGTACACATGGCAATAGTGAAATAGAAGATGACCTACTTTATGAAGTACCAAATTATCATGCTGCACAGACATCATCGGTTGTATTTGTCAGTAATTCATCATCTTCAAGTACAGATAAAAGTTCCAGTACTTTCAATCAGAATCTCCATCATGACTACTTCACTGGAGAC